ACAGGATGGATGGATGGATACAGGATGGATGGATGGATACAGGATGGATGGATGCATGGATGGATGGTGCGAATTTCCGAAACTTGCTTATCTCCATCCCAACAATGACTCCTCCACAGGATCTTCAATTTTTTTACTTTACGTTCCCACCTCGCTTATTCACGTGTCAACCAAGTTAAGCCGCAACCCTTCCATCCTTTGTTTACCAAACAGCATTGCTTTCCTCCCAACTGGTGCGCGTTAAAACCTCCACTTTCCAGGATCCAGCTTGACGCTCCACGCATGTAGCTTGTATACCATTCGGGTGGAAAAATGTTTTCCACATTTTTAACAAAAGAAAACACAACGTGGACAATGCGAAGGTATGAAAGTGCTCTGGGGAATGCCAACCCCTTGTCGTGTCAATATTCCCTCTTTTTTCGACTTAAATAGTGGATGTTCTTTTTGTTCTACGGTAGACTGAGCAAATGCTGCGGCTTCTTTGTCCCCCTTTGTTTACCGCCTTGGCAAAATGGGGTGACATTCGAGTCTTCTTCCCAACAAGAAAGGGAATGTGAAGTCGTTTGTGTGGCCAAATATTTTGACTCGCGTTGATGGTGACGCTCACTGCACAGCACGCGATGTAGGCATTAATTTCCCTCCAACTTCCAAACGACTTGGCGGAGGATTTGATGGGGAAATAAAACGGCTTATTCGTTTTTTTTTTCAATAAATACTTTGAAATTTGTCCTGTCACCTTCATAACTTTGCCTAGGAAAAGGTGTTAAACAGGTACTCGCATCAAGGGATCGTAAAACATTGCCCTCTCCCCTCCCAAAGACCATTTTTGCGCCCCTTTTATCCATTGGCCCAACCTGATTGGTCAGTTTGCTCAACCAATAGGCTCGCGCCTAGTTTTGGACTTGTTTATAACTTTGCGGGGCAGGAAGAGTTGGTCACAGCGCTCTCTCCGCAAAATGGTAGGTGCTTCACTGCCCTCATTTCTTGCCATTATTTGTTTTCCTACTTAATTTCCACCCGTAAAATTTTATCCGATCTCGGAGGTGCCTTGAAGTTCTAAGCATTTATTAGTTGCAGAAAAGGGAAAATATTTTGTGTCATCCAATTGGAGTTGTGCAATTATCTCCAGATATTCTACCCATTTCTTGCTTATTTTGGCATTTGTGACAGGCTACTTTCGCTTTAAGTCATGCCGTGAGAGGGGAGAAGGGAGGGCTTAGCTGTCTAAAATTTCATATTCTGTCAAATGCAGTCTTCTAAACAGCGCGTTTGTACTGAAATCTAAGGTCTTGATACCGCGTACCCGCATTTCTGCATTTTTGTAAGGGCAAATTACGAAGGAGGTAGTAGTGGTTGTAGTAGCTGGCTGTGTCTGATCTTATCGTGTTGCAACCTCTGTCTGGCGGCGCAGCTGTCCTTCTGGTGCTATGGGAGTGCCAATTCACCTCCCTCCGCATTTGTGCTCTCGGACATTGTCGATCAACGAATTGGGTGATTAAAAAGTGGTCGTATCGAAGTACTCCAGACTCTCAGCCAGATGCAACTAAGACTTTGTGAAATGAGGAAAGAACGCTCGCACCTCGCCATGAAAACGAAGAGCAAGTTTGCGGGGGAAGTTTACAAGTAAGCGGCAGCTTATGCATCCACTTCCGACGTGAAGAACAGCGAATTAGGTGTACCGATTTTGAGGTGAAATTCCTTTGTAAACATGGACCTAGTGGCACAGTATTTGGGTAGCATCGTAACAAATCCACCTGTCACTTGTCATTTGTGCGCATCATTGGCATGAGTGCAACCTGGAGGTTGTGGGACGCCAGAGACGTGGTTAATGGAGTCATTGGGGTCATTGCATGACCCGACTGGGTCGCTGCTAGGCGGCATCCACCCAAAGAAGTGGTCAAGACATCACAACTCGTGTCACTTTTGGCCAAGAAGGAAATGTGGTTTTAGGCTCGAAATCGCTGGATCCTGACTCCAGTAGCCATTGCTGCTTCCAAAGGTGGGGGAGGGGGGGGTGAAGAAGCACAGTTTTTGACCTCACCGAGGTGTTCAGTAGCGGCACAAATTGCGGAGGGAGCCAATCACGTCAATCACAACAATCTTATCATGGAGACCGAAGGAGAGGAGGAGGAGGAGGTAAAAGTGATGAGTGGCTCCGACTCACTTCCACCCAATCTGGACCCCATCCTAAATCAATCAGGACATAGAGAAAATCTCGTTGAAAGATGACGAGCCAATCCGGAGTGTCGCCACATGGCAAGCTGGAGGTGGTCCATCCCATTCCATCCACATTCGAGGTGTCGTCGTCGAAACAGCCGCCTTGGATGAGGGCTGTTGGTTGAGAGCAGTCCCAGACGAGCAAGCAAGTCCAAACAGCAGATTATGGGTGATCCTGAAAGCTTCCATTACTTTCTAATAGCTGTTCGCTCTACCGGGTGTTTGACTTATCCCACAGCAAAACAAGGAAGACTTCATGAATCACTCGTAAGAATTCCCGTTAAAGTTCTTTCCATCTCAGCCAAGAAAAAAAGTTAATTAAACAAAATTTTGAGTTTTTGACTGACACCTTCATCTATCCCGTATCCACTCATGCGTTCCTTCCGCATTCATCCATCCGTTTATTGACCCATCCTTCCATTCTCTTCACGATGCAGCACAGGTCAGTGGAATCACCTCGTCTCAAATCTCAGAGTTCTCTTCCTCTTAAAAGAAATTGTTAGCAAGTCGTGCCCTCAATTTTCTTATTAGATATACTTCCCTATCCCGTTTCTGGCTGCTGTCTCATTGGCATTGGGCTCGATCGCCTCTGCGATGACGTTGGAGGAGGCGATGAAAGATGCGCCCTCCTGCATCTTCTATGACACCGCGCCATACAGTTTGGGTTATCACGCTGGCTTGGCCTCCCTCGTGACATACGGCAGTCTCATCTTAATTTCTGCCTCCATCGCCATCATCGCTAAGTGCACCGGTTCCACCCGACGAAGGCGTACTTCCATGGTGGAAAAATCCAAGTACGTAAACAGAATCCCAACTACTTACTTAGTTTTTCAGTAGTATTGTAGCCCAAAATTCATATCGGAGGTGGTACATTGCGCTCTTTCACGGATTTAACATGTCTTCCTCTTTCAGTCGACTCTTTTCGTTCTCCTTTCTGTGAAACGCTCTTCTCCTTGTAAGTCGTTGCGACGCTGATTTGACTTGCCGTCTTCAGTCCTCCTGATTTCCTGGCACACAATCAACTCGCCTAACTTCCGCATCTTTACACTACGCATTTGACTGCCCACATCCCCGCCTTACGTATCACCCTCGGCTAGTCCTTTTACCCACTTGATTTGCGGTTTAATGGAAAAGGCTACTCTGTCACCAAGGCAGGGGATAAATGAAAAGTCTGATGAAACGCTGACACAAATGCATCTCCCGGTGCTATGCGATTTGCAAGCATAAATCATTAGCTGATCTGATAAAACCCGCCCCTTTAAAGTAGTTGGTTGGTAGAATCAGAGCCTGTGATCGGAGTGGTAATGTAACCTCAAAGGACAAATTTGGTGGGTCTGAGGTGAGTCACGAAGAGGGTGAGGTTAATTTAATAACCCCGCCTCCCTAATTCGACGCTGGTTCAACAGCAAATGTCCCCCCAGCACCTAGGCCGCAGTGACCAGTTCTCTCAGGGTGGCCTTAACATGACCTCATGGGCGAGGCCTCCAACCCAGCCTTGGGAGCTCAAGTCGGCCAGATGCTGTTCTGCGACAAACACTTGAATTATCCACGAAGGAGGGCAAATTAAGGGTAAAGGACAGTTCCTTCCCTCCTCCCCCCCCCCCCCCCGCCTGATTGACATGGACTGATTGCCGCATCTCCCTAAGCCCATTCATCGTGGCCCTCTGCAAAGTTGTGAATAATTTCACCCACTGAGGGACAGTTACGACTATTTAAAATGTCACCTTGGTAATTCCTTTTTTTTTCTGTATTTCAACAGGAGGAAATCCGTGTTTTAGTTTGGCGAGTTCGTAGCAAGGCGGAGGAGAAGGAGGACTCGATTTTCTTTTGTGGGCGATAATTTACCTGTTTCATCAATTAAACTTCATTTTTAAGCTATCAACTACAATTTTCTTTTGTTGTCTACAAATTTGCTTCCACCTTGGCAGTGATTGGGAGATTTATTTCCCCTGTGAGACAGGAGGAAGATTAGACATATGGACAAGTTGGTGGTGATTTGAATTTCCGATCAGTGTGTTATAATGTCCCATTATTTGGGGAAAAATAAAGAAATGTAGCTTGAAGTATTTCTGCGAGTAGTTGAAGGGTGGCCTGTTCAACAACCCCGAATCGGCGGCATGGGATGTCAGCTTCGCGATTGAGAATGGCAGAATACTCAGTGAAGTTGTTGCCCTAACGGTTTACCATCAAAAGGGGAATAACGAAGGAGCCGCAAAATAATTCCACCGTCCGGCCGTTTAGGCCCTGACGGCACTGCGTGGGGTATCATTACGAAAAGTCAATTAACTGACATTGAAGAGGCTCTGTTGTCCCAATTCTCAAAAAAAAATTGCTAATAATTAAATATAATGCGTTGTTAGATGCTCGTTTTAATTCCAAACAGAATTTTTTAAGGTGGATTTAAAAGCTCGGCAATTTAGCGATTAGAATTAACGCGCTACTGAAGTTGTGTTAGTAGGTGTTTTTATTTGTAAATTTTAGTCATGTTTACATCGCAGGGTGCAACTGAAAGACTGTTGGAATCTACTCCGGTAATTCTCTTAAAGTCTGGACGATTAAATAAGGAATATCTTCTCCAGATCTATAAAGCTTCTAAAAGTGAAGACACAGCTTTCCATCATACTGCCTCGCCCTGGGCAGAATGGAGTCTCGCTTCGCTAAAGATATTCTAGAAGAGTATAAGGATGCATACTCATAGATTTTGAACGATTCCTTGATCCAAAAAAGACTCTTTAGTCAACTTGAAGGCGGTAGAGTAACTAAGAAATTGTAGCCAATTCGCGTGGAAACTTGAGCCTCCTTGAGTCCACTTGTTCACCCACCATAACTCCCATTTTTGTGAACCAGATCGATTTCATTGCGGGTATCAGGGCATCTCCTAGAGGGTGCCGTTTTCAGAGAGTCTTTTAGCACTTCACCGCTTTCCCCGAAGTTAGTTGAGCGATACGGCGACAGTAGATGGTTGGGAATTCGACCACTTTAAAGAAGGTCTGAGTGCGGATGAATGTGGTGGCGCGTAACCGTAGGAGAGGGGGACATCGACCACGGAGATTCACGATGGAAGTTGAGAGTGTAGCCCAGATGGCTGAATTGGTATCGCCGAAGTGACAGTGAGGTCAGGAGGACTTTTACGCGGTGCGGAACAAGCGGAGTGATGGAAGTACTCGATTTAGAGCCTCACCCGACTTTAATGGACCCGGAAAATGAAAAGTTGTAATGCAAGGCCATCTACAAGGACCTAGAAGCCTTCTCTCCCTGATGGCCACTTCCATTTCTGTCTTCTTGGTTGATTTAACGTCACTTACTTGGAGAGGACGCCTAGAACTATGGAACGAGGCTCTTCGGGCTACCACGGCGTTGACGTGGAGCTTTCCAGGTAGTCGCTCGGCTCTTATGCGCACTGATGGTTTATTGCGTGGTGTGGGGGTATATTGAACTTCACAGCATCACGCCTTCGGTGCTTGAGGAGCTTTACTTTGATAGTTTATCAGTATGGCAGGATTGACAACCGTATGCCAAACACCACAAACAGTCACACACAAACTTCTCCCCGGCCAGCCAGCCAGCCACTTGGCTCAGCCCACCTCACCTCATCACGTGGGTTGGAGAGGAAGTGGGCGGCTCCCGCGCTCACATGACACCCTGCTGTCATGTGACATCCCAGTGTGGCAAGGCGTTTCAACTCGCGTACGCCCGCCTGCTTGCCTTTTGCCTCTCGTGGGCCAGTGCTTGCGCCGTGCTAGCGTTGCCACTTTGACAACCGTTTTTTCCCCTCCGCCTTTCTTACAACTGCAACTACTTCCGCCCTTACAAAACTCTAGCCGGAAAGAGGGGGGGAGAGGAAGAACCTGATCTTGGCTGTGCCAGGTGTAGTGCCAACTCAGTCCCATTTAGTCCGTGGCAGCATTGGTGACAGATTTGACAGTTAAACCTCCCCATTTAAGATAGGTCGGTGTTTAGTGTTTGAGGCTTGTAGACTGCAGACCGGTGATACCACTCCCCTCTTCCCCTCTTCCCCCCCCTCGTCCCGAGTTAGGGGGATGGGTAGAAGAAGCGGCAAGTTAAACGATGCTTATTGATAGTGAAGCCTCGTGGAACGCCATCAAGTTGCATTTTAGGGAGGTCCTTCAGCAAGTGCGCGGTTTGCGACTGACTGACTGCCTGACTGGGTGGATACGGTGCTGCATTCACACACACACACACACATGCCACAGGTGACCTTGAGATGTCGGTACGGTTGAAACTGCCAGAAAGGCGCTTCGCCACCACCACATTGACGTGCGATGACTGTGGTAGTCACTCCGTTAGTTTGACTGGTGATAAGTGGCACGTTGACACCAAACCGGGATTCCTCGACATGGGCGACGGGTGGTGAGGAAGTCTACGCAATGATCGGCGGGTGACGAGGTCCCCCTACCAATGCTCCGAGCAGGATAGAGTGTTATCGAATGACAATCGCAGCCGTGGCGGCTGGTCATAGCACTGGCCTCTGTAAACCTTCAGCATGTGGAATGTCCAACAAGCACCCCTCCCGTCTCGATGAATGGCTGTCGGGGGCATGGCGTTGAACATACAGACCCTCTCGATTATCCAGGCCGAGTGTCTCCCAGTCCTTCGGTGGGCGAACAACAAATCCACTTCCGGACTCGCATGCCCTCTCGACTCTTCACCCCGTCATAGACACACCACACCAAATACGAGGGAAGGGAAAGTCAAGCAGCGCTAAAATTGTGGTATCAAATGTTTGTTGGTTGGTTGCTTTGTCAATATCCGTCATTGCTCAGACAGGCGTGGAAGGAAGAAGTGCAAAAGGAAGGGGGAAAGAAAGGGAAAAGGTGGACATAGACAGGTAGGCAGGAAGGAAGGGGATGATAACAAACCAACGGATGTGCGAATGACCTCTTCGTTACCCCCAGTAGATTACACACACACACACACATACACACACACACGGGAACGGACGAACGAGCGAGGAAACGAACGAACGCTTTGACAGGTGGATGGATGGCTGGGCAGGTGAGTGACATGAAAGACTAATGTCAGACAAGGTGGTAGCGGAGAAAAGGGAAAGGAGGGTTGAATGAATGGCTCTCCCTAGTCGGTTGAGAAGTGCGACCGTTTTGAAGGCGATGGCACCTGGGAAACCTCGCATGGTGTGGACACCCCCGTCGTCACTGTCGCACTCTGCTGCTGTTGTTGTTGGAAATGCGCTTTCAGGCTGTCGCGAAGAATGTGGTTTTCCCGTGTCAGACGACATATCTCCTGCTTGAATATGGCGTTTTCCTCCCGTAGCTATCAAAAAGATCAAACATCTCAATCGACCAATAATTAACCAATGATATGGAAAGCTCCACCCACAGCAGACACTCACCGTCTTGATATTGGAGTCGTAGTTCTGGAAGTACTCGTAGACGCGTTTCAGCACGACACCTTTACTCTGATACTGCGATTTTGCCTGTTGTTCCGGGGGAAGAAGCTTATAAAGTGCGGCAATCCACGTGTTGATTCGATCCCGACGTCGTCGTTCCACTAGCAGACACAAGATGGGAGGGGAGGAGGTTGATCATGCCGCCGACTTTCAGCTAGTTAGTAGTAGTAGTAGCAGCGCATTGGGGCAACTCACCCTCATTGTGGCTGACTCGTCGTCGAATATCCTTTGAATCGCCACCAGTTTGGTTGCCCTGGCCACCGCCACCGAGAGCACCACCGCTGCCGGCGCCGCCCATCCGGCCCATGTAATTTCGGGTGGGAGGTGAATCGTTGGAGAAGAAGACTGCCATGAAGAATTCAAATTTAAGTTTCCTGCCCCTTCTATCCACAAAACCTGACACCGTCTCTGTGTTCTACTCATTTTAGTTTAAGTAGACTATCCCACCAAACGGCGCCACTGTTGGCTTGATTGTCCGTCCCATTTACTACTGATTTGGATATAAGTAGACTGCCAGGTCACATGACCTGATCAAATAGTGAGTTTCGCGGGCTGTCACTGGCTAGGACTTGAGTGGGCTACCCAGTCACTATTTCAGAGGAGGCCGCACCGACCCGAGAATGTGCATTCCCCTGACCAACAGTTAGTTATCACGGATGGGATGGAATGGCCATCACTAAAAGGCGGTGCATGCTACTTACACCAATTTAAGTAGACTGGGGTCAACCAAGAAAATAAACTTCAGCCAAGAATGAGGCGATCTGAGTGGGAAAAGAGAGGCCTCCACAGGCTGCCTGAGGGACCTGTTACTGATTGCAGTTTAAGCAAACAGTTTACCAGTTGCATAAAAGCATTGAGGTCAGTTACAGCATCATTAATTCACATGACAAGAGAGGTCGGCGGTAGCAGCAACCGGAAGTTGCTCCAATTGAAGGTCTCGCGAACGACTGGTTATGCTAAGCTTTGGGGGGTAAACAATCATTTGCTCATCGTCAAATCGCCTTGATTCGGAATAATTTTCGAGATACAGATCAATTATTCCGTGATCACCACCACCACCACCTTGACCGTCAATGTTCACGGTGGTGAGGAACCTTCACAACAGGGCGGACAGTGGACAATTTATACAAGATTTAAGCAAAAAAAGGCAGAACTGATGCAGGAATCGAACTTGTGGAGAAGTCCTCACTACCGTGATTTCACGATTTGTCTGAACCAGTCTGGGAATCTACTTATCAACCCCCATAACATCGATGTTAAGCACTCCGGTGGGATACGCTTTCCAACAAGACCAGACACGTTGGAATTTCACACTTTGCCAAAGCATTAACAAGCCGCGAGGAATAAGGCTGCAAAAAAAAAAAGAAATTGTGCTGCAGTTTTTTAACACTCGAGTGCATTCGCTAAGTGATTGGATCAGGGGTTGTGGAGGCGTTGAACCGATAGCTACACCAACATTTGGGGAGACAAATTATAATCGAGCCCACACTGCCACGAGGCGTCGTCAATAGGCCAGACAACTTAGCCACTTCACTCCACCAGTGTCGGTGGCTGTGATGGACACAGCATCACGCGGCAGTGGCAGCAGAACAGCCAAGTAGAGAGGAGGCTGTTGCACGATTGGAGGGGGCGTTGTCAAGACTCCAGCCGAGTGTCTACGAGGTGAAAGAACGATGCCCTTCCCACTTCCTAATTTACCATACGCCGTCAGTGGAAGCTGTGGAACGGTTTCAAAACGAGCACGGGAGGAAGAAATTCGGTGGTCAGTCGATCGGCACCATCACGCATTGGGCTGGAAGAAGGGAGCGCAGCTACCTCGGGTGGAACAACAGTGATTTGAGGCTATCTCAAGCAAGTAGCCAGCCTCCTCATTGATGGTGTGTCGACTCTGCCCCACCGGAAAGTCGCTTTCCTCAATGAAAAGAACAACACGACCACGGACAGCGTGACTAGTGGAAGGAGGCCTTTACCAACAACGCAAACTTTGACCTCTGTAGGAGTGATGAACCATCTGGAGGTGAAGTAGCCCTGCAGTAAGTGGAAGTTGTTGAGGCGTTTGATGTGGGGAAGATTACACCGACTCTATGATCCTCTACAAATGAAGAAAAAGTGGGCGAATTCTCCAGCTTGGAACATCGGGAAGAGAAAATTCCATAATTGGAGGCATCGCACATCATAACGCAAGCTCTATCCTCGCCGCGACGTCTGATTCGAATGACGAAGCCTGTGGTCCTGATGGAAGAGAATGTGGGATAATTCCCTTCAAATTCGTCAGATCCGGTGCCATGGCCTTGTCGACAAAGCTGTGGGCATGGACGTGATAACGAAGGTGGTTTCATCACCTCCGACTCGCCTGCAATTTCACGACTCCTACGTGGAAAGCGCTCCCCACACGTCAGAATCCGTCAGCGTTGACTTCCAGAGGAAGAAGACAATGAGAATAATTCGATGACTTCGAGGTGACGAAGACGTCCACAAACGTGTTGGTGGCATCGCTGTAACAATTCACAAGCTCTCACCAACATGACTGATTGACAACTACGAATAAGGCGTCATTCAGTGTCATCTACGCCAGGAAATCACAGTCAACATCAAGTATGAACATTGGCCAACTGCACCACGTTGCCAATTGCCTGTGACTCGGCCTGTTCTGCTGAACAGACCGAGTGTCTACGCGGGATTACTGGGGACACGACGCTACCGACAGCTTGAACACATCCACTCCAGAAGGACGACCGCATCGAAGAAGGCCAATCGTTACTTCCGCATCACGAATGAGGCGAGGCGGGGACAAGAAGAGGAAGTGTTTACAACAGTAGCAAGAAACGCATGAAGGAGTAGGAATGAAATGGTGAAGGGGGGTTGGAGCCTCCTAATCTTTGTGACTGCTCCCACAAAAAGGGTGCGCTCAGTGTTGGACGTTGCCAGATAACAGATCCCAAACAGGAGTCGACAAGTGGATCTACGAAGCTCACCATCACCGTGGTCTACTCAGATTCGCACACAGTGCTGTAACGACTGACGGGGAAGAGTGATCGCAGGAAGTGGTAGGGATGAGGCTCAAGAAAACGTGGAAGGGTGCAATGGAAGAGCTCACAGCCCACCGAAATTCGGGCGCCAAAGCGGTAGCATAGAGCCCTGCTCTTAGCTCAACTTGTGCCTCCAAGGTCTTCTGGCTCTTCTAAAGACGTAGCCGTCAATCAATTCCTGGCAGAATTGCAAAAACACCCCTGGAGGTGAGACTACTGCCAGCGCTAATTTACCAACCTTGCGGTTGCTTTGAGCACCCCGCAAACCTTCTCTCAACAGTACTATAAAGAAGGATGCAACAGTGGGCATACCTACAAGGAAAAGTGGATTTCAAAAGTGTGTGTTCTATCGCAGATCATCGCGTAGCCCACGGTGATGGGGGGTTTCGCTACCAACAGGGAGACATTTTAACGGTCTAAGCGAATCAAAGAGGACCTCAGCGCATGCAACGTCTCATTGACGTCCAAGCCCTCTCGAAATTGTACGGGGAGACAGTGAAGTCAGCCGTATCAGGACCAAGACAAGACTGGTTTTGACAACCACAGAAGAGTTGAAAAGGTTGAAGCATTGAGATGAAGGAAGCGCACTTTGACAGGGAAAAGTAGGATTTTGTGCATCACAGCCTCGGAATCGGATTGAGCATGGAAACAGTGGTAGCATGCGGAAGTCAGAAAGCTAGCACCGCTGAGATGGTTAATCTGTACTGGCAAGCTTTTTCACATCAAAATGGCTTTTTGAGCATTAGTTAAACTTCCGAAGGGAAAGCAAAACCACTGCCGGAATTGATTCTGCTACAGACACTACACTGCGTCTAAATGAGACAATAGCTGACATGGGAAGGGGGCGACAGAGATGAAACGTACGACTACCGTTGGAATCGGAGCCCAAAAGTCCCTCCACACAGAGCCCCGCCTCGGTGGCTGAAGTTGACGGTGGAGGGGGTTTAATTTTCACCTCCGGAGGACCACCGCCGCCGCGATAGTCATCCAGGAGGAAGGATGACGATGTTGACGCTGAAGGTGGCGCCTGTGACGCCTGAGGTGGGGAGATAAGAAGGGCAGCGGTGGGATCGGCGGATTTTTTTCTGTCCTCCGTGGCATTGACGGAGGAGGGAGGGGCGGAGGCTGATTGATGATCGTTGGTGGAGGGAAAACCGTAGGCAAAAGCAATAGAGGAGAGGCGCGGGAGAGGGTTGGTTGTAGTGGTGGTGCTACCGCTACCACCACCATCGCTTTTGTTGTCACTACCAGGAGTTGAAGAAACGCCTCCTCCGCTTTCCAGAATGTCTGCCCAAGAGAAGTGAAAAAGGCAGGACAAAAAAGTCATTATTCTTTATTCTCTCACCTCTACGGCCAATCGTGCGCCTATCAATCCACCTTTTAAACCACTTGGAAGTCTACATATTCAACAGTAGGTCTAGTTGATTAAGTGAACCTAGCACCAGTTGGCGCTGTTTGGCATTCAGCAATTTGGCATCATTCAGGTTGGTTGTGCTCTCATCAGGTGACCAAGAGAGTTCACGCAGCCCTCGGTTCTGCTCGCTGCATTGACTTGTTGCAACTTGTGAAGCACTAGTAAAACGCATGCGATTGTTTGTATGCTGTATAGGGCCTGCACAGATGCGTCAGCCCGTCGGTGCAGGGCCCCATTAATGAATGAGCCCACCTACTGTCTCGTCTCCTGTTTTTAAGCCCCTTCCCCACCCCACCCGCCACAAAGTAGTCGTGGAGCAATACATGAGTTGAGCATGTTGGCTATACGAAGCTTAACTGGGTTCCAGTGTTGCAAAAGCGCCTCGTCAACTTTTCGGTAAAACATTTTACTGAGGCAGAGTAGCGGAACAAAACGTCGACTAGAAGTAGTAATTCAAGCCTAGCGACAAATCACTCAAAGATTTAGGTATGCCTAATGCCAGGCGACTTCGGGGTTGACGCGCAAGTAACCCTAGGGTTTGCCTACTGTAAACCGCCTACGCCTCCACCAAATGATGAAGCCGCAAAAGCCAAGTTAAAAATCCCCACTCAACTCAAAGGATGGCAATCAAACCAACAGATCTATTCATCCATCCACTCAGCTACCATCAATCCTAAATCCACCAATTTAAAACTTTCCACTCACCCCTGAATGCGAGGGACGGGACAACGTCCTTCAGGGACTGCAGTAGCATTGGTGGGATATTGGTGCTATTCTTCCTTGGCGCTCGTGGCATTACAGTCTGCTTCTGCTGAGTCTGCGATTGCTGTTGCTGCTGTGGCTGCTGCTCCACTGTTATTTGCGGAGACGGAAGCGACTGCTGTTGTTGTGGTGTCGGCGCTGAAGTCAATTGAAACCTCTCCAACAAATTTCTTGTTGTTGCTTCATTCACTGTCACAGCCGCCGCCGCCGCCGCTGCGGCCGCCTTCTCGCGTTCCGCACCGACTGCCATTATGACTGGATAATTACTTGGGACGAGGAGGTAAAGCTGACTCGAGTTGTTCGCCTTCTTAATCTCCTGTTAGACAAAGAGGATTCCTCTCAACTCAGCTTTTGTGGTGTTAGTATAAGTGTACATGCAATTACGAGGACTTGTCGGTCTCCGCAATTCCTACTGCTACTTAGATGACATAAATACCAGCCTCTCGACCCTTCCGCATGCTAACGACAAACAGGTGGGAATACGCTTGCACGGGAAAGGTCCACGACCCACCTCGGTGGAAATGACGCTTCCAGATTTGCGCATAAGTTCCTGCAGTCCGGATTGGGTGAGGGAGAAGACTGAGGAGGGGTTGGTGTTAGTGTTAGACTGGTGATGAGAGGGTTCCAAACCATTGTTGGGCGATGACTTGAGACTATGAGGTGGGGAGGAGCGCTGGAGATGGTGGTGGAATGATTTTATGGCGACAGAGGGGGACGTGTGACAGGAACGCGGTGTACGTTCCATCTGATCGTCTGAAAAGAGAGCAGAAGGCGAGAAAAAGAGGCAAGGCACCTCGATGCAATCAGAGCTACAAGGTTTCCACATCCTGTATCATCGTCAGGGCTAATTAGAGTATTCCTACTAAAATAAGCAATACGAAAGCTGATAAAATCTGGTGCTTTTTCACGTTTCGAAAGATAAATACGAAGAAACGCTTCGTCATAACAACCTGTCAAAGAACTATAACACCTCAAATGTAATTGAAATCCAATTTGAAAACGTAGAGTACAGCCGATGTTGGATGAGGTCTTGGGTAAAACTACCTGCCTTCACAACTGTGCAGTATTCCTTAGGAACTTCTACGCTTTGTATCATCTGTGGAAGCAACTAGGACGGAACACCTACCTAATTCGAACGTGACCATCTAGCTAATAGGCAAAAGGTTGAAAATAAAACGACTTACGGCAGGAGAGAGGCCGTGCGGCGCAATGAATGCTATAAAACACACCTGCATAAGGGAGTGGTAGTACAAGTGAAGTAGGGGAGGTTTTCGTGTTTCGTAACAGGAATGTGACCAAAAAATTACTCCAATAAAAAAGACAAAGAACTGTTAGGCTTATGGATATGCAACTCAGACTGAATGTCAACTGAACCAAATTGACAAGCCCTCGGATATCTGGGAGTAACAACGCAAACGAAGAGAGTAAAGAGGAGAAAAGCAGAAGTCATATTTGCAATGACAATCTACCTGTAAAACTTTACTAGGCGTAAACTCGGATGTCTATAACGCTAAATGCGACAAAACCAGTAGTCAAATATGCCAAAGACATCTACACCTCACAATGGAACGGATAAGCGATGGATGAAGGACGAGAGGAGTTGAGACGAGTTTTTGTCGCCACCCACCGATTCACACGTAGTTACACACAGGCATACGCATACACACAAGCGGGCACGTAAACGTTCAAATTGAGACGTGTCACATGATCGGCACAGAAGATGCACATAGGCATCACGTGACACGCCAGAAGGAAATGGAAATAGAACAAGAAACAAATAGGTAGCAAGCTGAGTTACCGATGGGTGAGCGACGTGCTGCAGCTGTGGACGGCTCACTGAGGTGACGGGTAGGGGACGTAAAAGCGACTGAGGTCTCGTCTATGACACCTTGCTGCTGCTGGCTGCTCAAAATAGCAGAGTAGATATCTGCACATGTTGTGCTTTTGCTGTTGCTGTTAGTGTTTGCAATGGCATGGGGATTTGGAGACTTGGATTTGGGGCGATCTTGACTCGTCAAATTTGCAAAATGGGTAAAAAGATTGCAACCACTGATGTAGTTTGTGCCACCAAGGTGAATTTGAGAACTGGTTGGCGCGTATTCATTGTTGGGGACGGAATCCATGACGACAAAGGTAATCTGAACAAGTCAACCACACGCATAATAATTACCAAATTGTCCAGATAAATAGCAGTTCGTATGTAGCTCATAAAATTATAATTATTGCCAAACTTGATAGCGAATACGTACAGCGAAATCAAGTAATGTTCTTGCAACAGAGGAAATTAAGTAAACGAAAGATAAAGCAATGGCATTAAATACACCGCCAAAAACTGGTGAAATGGAGTTGGTGACATAGGAGAGGCGTTCTTTCTCAGGCGATATTTTTATCTGGCAAGGAGCAATGAGAGTTTGAGATGCTCACCTTTGGTGACAAGGAAGACAAATGAAATAATTTACACAAGCATTACTTAGGGGGCGACGAGAGCGCCGATGACCGAAACTCGGTAACCTTATTTAACAGATAAAAACAAACTTCTGGGTCAATAAATGTGCAAAAAAACTTTTTTATCCCAAATATTTTTGGAGCAAAACGACATATTATTAAAATTAATTGCTGGTATCTGGCGTTGGTCAATGTCATAAACACCACCTTTGTAAACCAGCTGACCCACGCAGGGAATGTTTTGGGAATCAATGATTTGAAGATACATATAAAAAGCAAAAATATTTTAAAACTAATAACGTATCTAATTTAGAACCTGAGTGTGGTGGCTATAAATGCTTTAATCATATAGTTCTGTGAATGGTATGCAAAATTCCATGTCAATTCAAAGTAGGTTTGTGCAAACACAAACTTTCCAGTCATTTCTGAGACTTACTAACAACTGTAAGAGCAAATTTTGATCGACTAAGTTTTCCGTATTCGGCTCTGAGTCGAATCAAGAACGCCATTGATAGTAACCTGTAGAATCTGTTACAGGTGTAGGGTCCTGAGACTTCATTGAATTCGCAAAACCAAAATAACTTGGCAACTGGATTACTTAACAGGAGTGAAATTATTGGTAGTGTGAGTATATCTGTACCTAGGCCGAGGGTTTCATAATGCATTTCATAGCACCTCTTTAATTTGAGAGTAGTTCCAGTCTCTACCCTTCCTTAACCGCCCATATCAGCCATCATAACGGAATTTGCTATTTGTGTCAGCCATTAATTTTCATTGTAACTGAGAAGACATTTGACTGTAACGTGGTTAATCAACTAGGTCGGAGGTGTTATCCCATGTAAGAAATGGATTTAGGGACGGAGAAATTGCACTGGCCATCACTGGTATCCATAGCTAGTCGTAGGAACTCTGGCCCAAAAGCAGTCATATAACTAAGAACGGAAATTTGTGCCTATTTTCTTGTCACAGTGTTCTCTTTTTGAGGCACCTTGGCACTGTTCTTGGTTCTACCGAGCTATTAGAGAGGTGGAGGAGGTAACTGTACGTGTTTACTTAGTTGATACTTTATTACAGGCACCGTAGGCAGCTTCGAAATGAACTTTTTAGGATGAGACGTACCTAGCGCAGCGTTAGTTATCAACTGCTAATCTGCAGACAACCAGACTAGTCGTTGCCAAGAGTAGATGCTTTTTCGGTTTTTCTGTTCAAAATCGTAGCTGATATTTTTTCCCATAGCAGAGGCATCTCTTGCCTCCACCACGGTTTATCACTTAGTAGTGGGAATCAGAATATTTGTTTTGTAAGATGGGATTCTCTTCCAGCTTTTATTTATGATTAAACCCGTGACTTACCTGAAGACGGGAGAAAATATAACACTTTAAGAGAATATGTATACTTACCACAGAAGAAAAGGGTGGCCTCACTGGCATGTCAGAGGCCAGCCCATCCGACGTAGGTATGTGTAATACGATGGTGGTT